TTGTAAGATGTCAATCTCTACCTTATATCTTATTATTATACAAGCACATCATTAATCATTAAAATGCACAACTGAATAAAAAAGAAATAGATTACTCTCAACTACTAAGTTAATATATATTGTTTCACAATATTAGGATAATTTCTTTCCCTTTTGTCACATTGAATAAAATATCTACAAAGGTTCACACCTTAATCAAACAGACTATTTATAAAGGATACTGCCCATATCCACAGAAGACAGACTCACCTATGTAAAGGACTGTGTCAAAAACCCCATTCACTGTCATGGTGGTGGGTGGAGGTGGAGGAGGCTCGTGCGAAGGCATGGGCAGGCTCTTGGCATTATCTCCAAAGAAGGTGCCGGTAAGGCTGCTCTTTGCTTGAAGGTCTTCTGGCTGCTCCTTGGCCAATGACCCTTCCTCAATTTCATTCCTTGTGAAAAACAGATGCTGTTGTAGGTCTCCCTCTCTTTGTCTCTGTTTCTGACACTGACTCACTCGCTCACACTCACACTCAAACTCGCACTCTCTCTCTCTCTCTCTCTCTCAGTTCACAGTAATAACTCTTAGCAATTTTAAAAACCAGATATTTCACGATCAGAAATGGTGGTGGTGGCAATGGTGTTGGTGTTGGTAAAGGTGATAATGGTGGAGGTGGAGGTGGAGATGGTGGTGTGGTGAATATGTTGATAACAGAGGTAGTGGTAGTAGTGATTATGAGTTGTTGATGATGGTTGTGATTGTGGTATCAGTAGGTTGTTATGATGGTACTGATGATGATTAAAGTGATGACAAAAGTGGTAGTACTAATGATGATAATAGAAACATGGTGATGATTGTGATAGTTGTAGTGATAACCATGATCATAATAATAAGAATAATATTAAAAAGAAATTACTGCAACAACAGCAACAACAATATCCCCTCCCCAAACTTTCCCTCAGGTACTGACTTGGCTTTGCTCTTGTTCTGTGTAACGGTTGAGGACAAGAAGACATTGATGAAGGCATCTAAATGCTGTCCACGCTCCTTCATTAGCTTGCGAGGAACATCCCTGATGAAGCGGCCAATGGAGACATCAGGCAAGTATGTGTTGGTAAACTCGTCTTTCGTCTTCAGAAAGAGGAAAAGCAGCTGAGAGCCCTTTAGTGCTGGCTTCTGCAAGAGCTTCTGCAGGAACTCTTCAAATGTCTGAAATGGAGGTGGAACATTCTTTGAATATACTTTGAACTTTCATTTTTGAGAAGGAAATTACTTTTCATATGTATATCATTAATCTCACATACTATTATCTTTACAAGTACAATTTTTCATTTCTATTTTTCCATATCTTACTTATAGCAGTTCTTTACCTTACTGACCTCCAAACAATCTAAAAGAAAAACCAACCTGTCTGCGAGTTTTCATGAACCCGATGTCCTTTGACGTGAAGAGGGATCGCCTTGGGGGCAGCTGGTTGTCCTGGAACTCCCCGTGAAATTCGGTCAGCTTGGTCTCCAGGATGTAGAACTCATGGTAGCGCCTTTCCACCTCCCAGTGTACCTCCTCTGGTCTCTCGGCTGCAAGGAGGATCAGATTGGTCAGTAATCAAGAGCTTCTATCCCTTTCCCACACCCTCACTATTTTATCATAATTTTTAATTGATTTATTTCCTAAAAGGAAAAGCTTCCCCCATTTGACCATATCCCTGAGAGCTAAACCTTTTTCTAAGATCTTTACCTCCAGTTACATCAATCCTTGTAACATCCACAATGAACGCATAATAGGGCTTGTTGTTGTGGTCGAGGCGCTGTTCAACGCGTGGGATGCTGACCCTCCACGCACTAAGGTCACGGAAGCTGGAAGTGAGCCCCTCTAGCCCACTGCACGACTGTGATACACCTCCCTCATCAGCCTATAAACGTACTGCTTTAATATGTTTGTCTTGGATTTGTAGATTCAAAATCATGAGTATATTCAGGAGACATGTCACAGGATCAGAAAACAAAAGTAAATAAACAGAAAGTTAACAGGTAAATGGGAATTCACTGTCTGGTATATTAATCTATAAAATCATTTTAAAAATCACAATTCTATACAACGGAAGTTAATTTACAAATTTCCAAAATATATACAGTTGATGAAATAATGTTATCAGAAGCAGAAGCAAAGAAAGCATTATTGTAAAAGCAAATAGTTTTAAAACCCATGCCATTCATCTCCTAAACACCACAAACTACGACCAAAAAACACATTCCAGCGTAGAAAGCTACTACATGATTGCTCTGAACATCAAGTATAAAAAAAAAAAAAAAAAAAACAGAATGACAAACCTCCTTACTAACCATGAGCAAAGATATATCATCTGCTTCTTCTATATCATAGAGTGTGTGGTCGTCCTCGTCGCCGATGACCACGGAGGGTTTGAGAACCATCTGTTTGCCAATGTGCTTGAGGCCACTACCCACCTTCTTCACCACTACTTTACCTACATTCTTCCTAGGGAGCTGATCCAACTCC